CACGGACACGGACACGACTCATCCGGTCCGGTCCACGGTCCAGAATATTCTCCATAACCGGTCCGGTCCAAAAGCCGGTCCGGTCCAGTTCGGTCCAAATGCTCACCCCTAGTACCATCAATGTCTTAATCGACGGATGTTCAGCCAGAAGATGCATAACAATTCAAAATATATTTACTTGTAACGTCCGTAGATCCGGGCTAGTCAATTTAGAGACAATAAGCATCAAAAATGACTTTTTGATGGAAAATTATTTAGAAGGATTAATCTTAACCAAGTTGTAGTATATGTCTCAAGGTTTCCCGATATATAAAGAATGCCGAAATCCGAGTTATAACGAAGAAGTTATGACATGTCGAAGTTTCGCGACAAACCGGCACGGTGCCGAATGTCGTAAAAAGTGAGTTTTTGATAAACTACTTTTTAGCCTTAGTGATCTAAACGAAACTCGTAGTATTCGTTAAACCGAGAAGTTCGATAAAAAGAACGTCCAAATCTGACTTCGTATGAGGAAGTTATGATTTTTCGAAGTTTCAGCTTAGTAGTAGACAGCTAAAAACTCGAATTTTAGATCGAGTGATTTTTAGCCGACACGACCTAAACGGGAATCGAATGTCTCGTCATTTGTAGCACAACGGTAAAAAGACAGATGAAAACGGACGTCGGAAGAAGAAGTTATGAATTTTTAACGGATATCCTGTCCCGGTATGTTAAAAATAATAATATAAAAACTAAAATAAAAATTAGCCGACGAAGTCTAAACGAAAGTTGTAGAGCGTAATTTTACCTACGCGTGCATATAAAGAACGTCAAAAACGGAGCTCGTATGCGAAAGTTATGGATTTTAGAAGTTTTGGCGCGAAAACCGAGAAATTTCGCATAGGTGGCTTCGGCCACGTCACCTTCGCTGAATGAGTGCCACGTGTCCGAAATCGGTGAGTCATGCGAGCCACGTGTCCGAAATCTGCTGAGTCACCGAAGCCACCTGGCAAGGCGTGTCGTGTCCTTCTCGAGTCCGAGGTTCGGTCCAATAGGAGGCTGCCCCGTGTCCGATCTCGGTGTATCATCAGCAGCGTGTCCGAACCGTAGAGCTGTCCGAAGTGGTCTAATCAGAAGCCTCCAGCAGACCCCTCGCATGCGCAGTCACGTGCGAGCCTTCCTGCGAGCCCTCGTATCTGCACCACCTGGAGCCTTCTCAGCCGTTGGATCAGGAGGCTCGCCCCTATAAATAGGAGGGTGCGAAACCTCCAGGGTATATTTTGGAAAATTGTCACTTTTAGCCCCTAAACCCATATTTCTTTCATTTTATCATCCCCCGAAGCCCCGGTATCAATTATAACCCCCGGAATACGCCACGAAGTGCCCGAGAAGCCCAGAAATTTATCTTTTCGGTTTCGAAGCCCAACCCTTCGCAGAGCCAGGTTTCTCAATAAAACTCCCGGTTTTATTAGAAACGATCGTTTCAGGAAACGAATTGCTGCCCGATTTTCATTAAATCAGGTGAGTGTGTAGTCACTTTCATCATACACATAGATATGAAGTATTTTATATGAAATACGTGCTATGTGTATATATGTTGTTTGTTTATTTGAGATGGATGTTGAATGAATGTTTTATACATGTTTAAAATGATTTAAAATGTATATATATTTTATATTCAAATATGTTGGGTAAAACATGGGTAGATAAAGTAGGAGGGATAAAAATACAGTATAGATGTACGTTGGTAGCTATGAATTTAGTACAGTATAGATGTACGTTGGTAGCTATATATTTAGTACGTTGGCAGCTATGGACTTCGTGCCTATTAGATAAACCTTGGCGACGATGTGACTTCGTGCCTATTAGATAAACCCTGGCGACTATGAGACGTAGTGCCTATTATATAAACCCTGGCGACTATGTGACGTAGTGCCTGTTGTATAAACCTTGGCGACGATGTGACTTCGTGCCTATTTGACATAAATTGCTGAGGGAAAGCAATGTTGTCACCCTGATGTTTGTTTTATTTGACATAAATTGCTGAGGGAAAAGCAATGTTGTCACCCCGGTGTTTGTTTTATTTGACATAAATTTCTGAAGGAAAAGCAATGTTGTCACCCCGGTGTTTGTTTTATTTGACATAAATTGCTGAGGGGAAAGCAATGTTGTCATCCAGGTGTTTGTTTTATTTGACATAAATTGCTGAGGAAAAGCAATGTTGTCACCCCGGTGATCGTTTTATTTGACATAAATTGCAGAGGAAAGCAATGTTGTCACCCTATTGGTTGTCTTATTTGACATAAATTGCTGAGGAAAGCAATGTTGTCACCTTATTGGTTGTTTTATGTTAGGATGTCTGGTTTGACATAAATTGCTAAGGAAAGCAATGTTGTCACCCCCTTTGGTTGCCTTATTTGACATAAATTGCTGAGGAACCCCCGAAGCAATGTTGTCACCCCTAATGAAAATCCTTATGCTAGGTCCCTTGTGATAGTTGTTTTAGGGACGTAAGGTGAGGATAACGAGAATGGGTAATTAGGGTTGTTTTTGGTTGATGAAATCAATAAATTATTTGTTGATTGATAAACTTAAAGGGTTTATTATTTATTGTGGGTTGAAAACCCTATATGTTCACCAGGCTCCCAAGCCTGACTCACTCAGCTTTTTATATTACAGGTAGTGGACCCCGAGCATAGTCGGATGATGATGATGAGTGATTTTGGATTATAGGCCAGTAGTTATATAAATAACTGTTGTAAGGCTTATAATGTCTTGTTTATGCTTTTGATATGTATCGCAACATGACATCCCGATGTTTTGATATAAAAGGAAATTATATATTTCTTAAAGAAAGGTTTTGGCAAACTTTTATCATGTTTTGTTTTGAGGACCAATTCCGCAACATCTTTTAAAAAGATTTCTCTGATTTTATTTTAAAAAACATAAATTAAATCGGTCTTTTCTGACCGAGAAATTAGGAGATGTCACATTACTCTAACGTTATTATGTAGTACGAAAGAATTTTACAACGTATCTATATGGACAATGAACCAAACATATAGTTACTCGCGTTACCTAATTTATTTTGATTTAGTTTGCACTAATTTTCATCCTATAGCAACTCGCAACGTCTTGAAAGGTGCAAGTTCCTGTAAATATAAGAGCATTTCTCTTTCAGAATTTAGATTGCATGGTACACATAACACGACATTACGTGAAACATTGCCATACAAAACTCTTTGTTACAAAGACCTTCGAAACTAAAGTTGCTATCTCAACCCATTTGTACATGCATGTGTCGATTATGTTTATAAGTGACAAAGTCCATCGAATGAACTAAAAAAATATAACTACAAAGGAAATAGTTTAAATGGGTTAAGGTTGTCCAAATTTTTTTCGAACTTATATAACCTTTTCATTATATTTGTTATAATTTATACTAATTACATTACTAAAAAATGTAAACTAGTCATTATAAATGATTTTTCTTAAATAACAAATTTTTTAGTTTTTGAAAAATGATATTTTCTTCCGAATGCACCCGCAACGGGTTGTTCTTCAAATTCTGGAGAGTATATATATATATATATATATATATATATATATATATATATATATATATATATATATATATATATATATATATTCTTTTTTTTTAAGTATTTTTTACTTATATTTGAAATATTGAAACGTGTAATATCATCAATCTTCAACTAACTGAGTTGATTTTAAGTTATATTATTGTATGTATGTATTTCCTATTTATTATGTTTGTTTAATTTTTTGTTAGATTTTAGTTAAAAATAACTCTGAAATTAATCCGGTCTGAAATCTAGAATACTGTTCCTAAATTCGAAATAGCAGTCTGAAATAAATTTTTTGTTAGAAAAAAAAATCTCAGTTCGGAACCCACCATTTCGGAAATAGTGGTTCTTTTGCCAACAACAAAAACAAATGATTATTTTCTTTAAATACACATTACATTATGAGTAAATTCGTTTTCACTTTTTTTTAACTTATTTAAAAAATAATTGAGAACCAAACAAATATTAGCCAAAGTAAATAATACAACTAATTATAAGCACTTACCCTTTTTACAAATTAATTGTGTTTGCTACCTTAACACAATTAATCAACTATGCACATGAATAATTAAAGACATATATAAGAATCATGTAACTTAATTAACTTCCGTTTGATGTATAAGGATGTTTGTTAGTTTAAGGAAGCTTGTGTCTTTTGGCAATTTGCTTCTTCGGGATAAGTAAGACGTGTGGAGTTTTAAGTATTTCATTCAGAAATTTCGATCAACATATCTATTATTAGAATAAAAATAAATAAATAAACATACAAAACAAAATATTGTTTTTTTGTATTCTATATTATAAAGAACATTTTTTTTACGCTGGGGTACTGAGCCAGCCACTGAGTCAAATAACAACACGTACCAATGTGTGGCATGAAACAAAGACAGACAAACACCAAACGAGAAATTGCATAGGTCTATCATATATTAACAAAAACTGTTTAGCTTTTTATTATTTTGAATGACATCACAAGTTTTCAAAATTATGATAAATGTGTATTAATTAATATAAATTAAGCATTATTAGTTCAATACTTTTAACTGGATGTTTCTATTTGGTTATTTATAATAAAGTTGAATGTTTGTTTATCAAAAGTTTTTTTTTTCTTAATTTACGAATGAATTTGGTATTCAACGGATGAACGGAAGATTTGTTTATATTTATCCTAGCGATCGTTATAAACGATATATGATAGTGGATTTTGTTCATGGTTCTATCAATTTCAACAAATTAATATAAACTTTAGGTAATGTCAAGTAATTATTTAATTAAACATGAACACTGATGAGGTTATATATTAACATTTCTTTATGTTTTAATATTTGTTTGTTTCGTCCACAAAATGTGTTAGGGTATCAAGGTAATTTTATGGTAAAAAACTAGGCTATAAAGAGGGAAGAGACATGCATGATGGAAGCATATGAAGTCAAAATGAAATCAAGAAAAGGGAGGAGGCCTTCAATGGCCTCTCTCATTGTGTCTCATATTGTAGTAATAGTTTCTTTAAGCTATCCTTTACCAATAACTGCAGAATTGAAACCATATGAGCCATTTAACCATCCCACCCACGCCACGCCACCACCGCCACCTCCAAAGTCTCCTTCTCCTCCTCCATCATCCAACCTCTTCAGTTTACCATTACCGCCTATTTTTCCAGGACCTCCTAAGTCGCCTTCCCCTCCTAAGTCACCCTCACCTCCCTCTCCCCCACCACCTAAGGGAAAGGAAAAGAAAAAGTCGCCGTCACCTCCCAAGAAAAAGGGAAAGAAAAAGAAAAAGGGAAAGGAAAAATCGCCACCGCCTCCCAATGAAGAGGAAAAAGAAAATTCACCCCCACCTCCTGAGGAAAAAGAAAAGTCACCCCCACCTCCTGAGGAAAAGGGAAAGTCGTCCCCACCTCCTAAGGGAAAGGAAAAGTCACCCCCACCTCCCAAGACAGGGCCCGATCTTCCAATTAAAATACCTAATCCACCAATTCCATTACCTACACTACCTGGACTACCTACAGTACCATCGCCTCCACAGTCTCCTCCACCAACACCGTCATTGTCTATCAAAGGAATTATTTTTCCACCCAAAGCACCAATTTTACCACCTCCTGTGCCAGGGCTAGCACCAGGACTACCTCCCCTTCCATTACCTGATCCAATACCTAAACCACCACCAGGTGTTTTACCACCTCCTGTGCCAGGGCTACCACTAGGGTTACCTCCGCTTCCATTACCTGATCCAATACCTAAACCACCGCCAGTCATTCATGGAAAGTCACCACCATCTCCTCCAAAGTCTCCTCCGCCAACACCACCATTGTCTATCCACATTCCCATTTTGCCGCACGTACCACCAATTTTACCACCTCCTGTGCCAGGGCTAGCACTAGGGCTACCTCCCCTTCCATTACCTGATCCAATACCTAAACCACCACGAGGTTCTTTACCACCTCCTATGCCAGGACTAGCACCAGGGCTACCTCCCCTTCCATTACCTGATATAAAACCTAAACCACCCTCATCATCTCCACCTCCAGAGTCTCCTCCACCAGCATCATCATTATCCATCCAAGGTGCTATTTTGCCACACATACCACCAGTTTTACCACCTCCTGTGCCAGGGCTAGCACCAGGGCTACCTCCCCTTCCATTACCTGATCCAATACCTAAACCACCACCAGGTGCTTTACCACCTCCTGTTCCAGGGCTAGCACCAGGGCTACCTCCCCTTCCATTACCTGATTTAAAACCTAAACCACCACCATCATCGCCACCTCCAAAGTCTACTCCAGCAGCATCACCATTGTCCATCAACGGTCCTATTTTTCCACACGTACCACCAATTTTACCACCTCCCATGCCAGGGCTAGCACCAGGGCTACCTCCCCTTCCTTTACCTGATCCAATACCTAAACCACCACCAGGTGCTTTACCACCTCCTGTACCAGGGCTAGCGCCAGGGCTACCTCCCCTTCCTTTACCTGATCTAAAACCTAAACCACCACCATCATCGCCACCTCCAGAATCTTCTCCACCAACACCACCATTATCTATCCACGGTCCCATTTTACCACACATACCACCAATTTTACCACCTCCTGTGCCAGGGCTAGCACCAGGGCTACCTCCCCTTCCATTACCTGATCCAATACCTAAACCACCACCAGGTTCTTTACCACCTCCTGTGCCAGGGCTAGCACCAGGGCTACCTCCCCTGCCATTACCTGATCTAAAACCTAAACCACCACCATCATCGCCACCTTCAGATTCTCCTCCACTAACACCACCATTGTCTATCCATGGTCCCATTTTGCCACACGTACCACCGATTTTACCACCTCCTGTGCCAGGGCTAGCACCAGGGCTACCTCCCCTTCCGTTACCTGATCCAATACCTAAACCACCACCAGGTGCTTTACCACCTCATGTTCCAGGGGCAGCACCAGGGCTACCTCCCCTTCCGTTACCTGATCCAATACCTAAACCACCACCAGGTGGTTCACCATCATCACCTCCACCACCAACACAATATATTCATGGCAATTCTCTACCAACACCTCTTAATTCATCATCACCACCAAAATACATTCATGCAACGTCTCCACAGTCGTCTCCTAAGTCTCATCCACCACCTCTAACCTTCCATGGTATTATTGATCCACTTCCAGCTCCACCACTACCTCTAATGCCACCACCCATCCCACTACCACCTCCTGCACCAGGGCTTGCACCAGGGTTGCCACCACTTCCAGTACCTGATCCAAAATTACCCAAACCACCTCCTCTTCCGGTACCGGATCCAAAATTACCCCAACCACCTCCACTTCCGATACCCGATCCAAAATTACCCCAACCACCTCCACTTCCAATACCCGATCCAAAATTACCCAACCCACCACCTCTTCCAATACCTAAACCACCGTTATATGTTCATGGAAAGTAGCCACCACCTCCTAATTCATCACCACCACAATCTAAGTCTCCACCACCGTTATACATCCATCCATCAATGGTTGTATTGTACCACTACCACCTAAACCACCATGTAGTGGAAAACCTAGACAAGGTGGAATCCTTACAATTAAATCACTAGTGTTATCTTCACCTAAAAACTAAGAATACCAATATATAAAATCCCTTACTACATCTAAGAGCTAGAAGAAGAATAAGCAAGAATTACATATTGGTGTGTGTTGTAGTGTAGTTGATGTTTATGTTTTCTCTATACATTTCATTTTCACTTAATTATGTATAAGTAAATGCGAAAAGCCAATATTTTCTTTTCTTGAGTTGGAAGGCCTTTAATTGGCATCAATAAAATGACTAAATGATCCTGCTAAACTATATGTTTATTAGATGACAAAGTGATATGTTCAGAAGAATTATTAACATGATACAAATAGTTAAAAACCAATTGGTAATAAAAAAAAACATCCATAAGAGCATCTCCATTGCAAGCTTTTTGAAAAATTATTTACCTTTTGAATAGGTCATTTAAAGAATTATCACATCATAGCAAGAGGTTTTTTAAGAATAAAGCTTTTTATCATATAAATAATTCTTTTATACAAACTTATATGCATTAGGGTGAAGACGTTTTCAAACATTTTTATCAATTTGTTAGTAGAAAATCTAGTTGGAAAATATAATAAGTATTTATAAAGACTTATGTATTGTATTGGAGATGCTCTATGTAGTCAACTTTGCTTCCAATTTTATGGTGTTACATCATATCATCGGCAAAACCAACCAAAAACTCCATACTCTCCACTATACTAATCTTACCTCCTCTCAATCCTATGAAATCAACACCACTCCCTCCCTCCACCCTCTGTGAAACTCTTTTGTTGAAGATCAAGGAAAAAAGGATTGGAGGATAATTAGCTTCTAATTGTTGGTGTCTAGTAGCATACGTCTCTTCTCATACGGATACTGACAACGGTAATCGGTCTTGATTATTGTCTCCTACATCAAAACATCCTTGTATATTTATATATAAAATGTTTAACAACCTACATGTATGATTCTTTAATTTTGTTTAAATCATAATTCCTAAAAACATACACTATATGCATGCATATATATATATATATATGTGTGTGTGTGTATATATATATATATATATATATATATATATATATATATATATATATATATATATATATATATATATAGAGAGAGAGAGAGAGTGAGAGAGAGAGAGAGAGAGTTAGGGTCATATGTCAACAAACATATATTGTGTAAATGTGAAACTAATTCATGGCCAATCAATATGTATTTATTTTTTGATTTAATTTAATTAATAAATGATAGTTTTGTCATTTTATGTATTATACATTCTAATCCCAAAGTTAAATACCTTGATTTATGGAAATAAAATTATATTTTTTATCTACTCTAATAAATGAATGTTTGTTTGTCACATGTTACACTCTCATTCAATTTGTCAAATGTCATTTTGTGGTTATTTTAAATTAATTTTTTTTCACATGTTATTTTATGGGTTTTATATTTTAATAAATTCAACATAATACTTTAATATAATAATTACAATAAATATAGTAATAAATGAATATCAATTTCATTAATGGACTTATTTTTTTATTTCAAAATATCTAAATTAAAGCTCATTATTTTATTTTGTTTATTTATTTAAATTTAAAAGAAAAATCAATTTTAATAATTCATTATCTTTCTTATTTACTTATAAATCTAAAGTTTTTAAATATTTAGACTTTTATATTTATTTATTTTTAATTAATCCATGTAATACATGGGTCTTAATCCTAGTTGAATAATATGTGATGTATTTCCCATTTCTTATATCATGTATTCTCTTCGCTCCCATTTCTAGGGCTGCCATCGATACCCCAAACTTCATGGTCTCTCGTCCCTCTTTAAACCGACGCCACAACAACATCACCACCGGATTTAATAATCGAGCAACAAGGGTTGTTCTAGCGACCACCACCTCCATAGATATTGAGTAGGAATCTGACTGTTAGCATCTTCATGCAATCATTATATGTATCATCTGCGAGATTTTTTTGCAAGCGACGGTAACAATTTCTTTTACTTACCTACGTTTTTGTTATAAATCAAAATTTGCATAAACGAAATCCTAATTGCCTTGGAATACTTTTTGATTTTTTTGTTTTCTTTACGTAATTACATATCTAAATCCTAATAAAAAATGACATGCATTGTTCTCCACACAATGGTTTTTGCCATCTCATTTTTTTATTCAACTTTTACACAATTTGTCTCTCTCATGGAAAATTTAATGGTATTTTATCATTGTAGTTGACCTAAATTCCAATTGCCTTGTGACTTAGAAGTTCGAACTCTTGGTTGTTTTTTTTCCACCAACCATAAAGTAAATACATATTTCTTATTATATTAATTTAATTTTTGTTTTGTAATCTTTTATTTTTCAATTTTTTTTCTATAATTCTTATTTTATGATTATTGTTTTCTAAATTCTTGGTTTTTAATTCTGATATTATTTTCATGAATGAGTGTTGAAACTGGCCAACAAACCATACTTGTTGAAAATCAGTTAAGTAAGAAGTTTGAGAAATTTTATTATTTCAAGAATAGTGTTATTCTTTTCTGAGAATAAATATAATATTTTTAATAACTAGAAAAGTTACCCCGCTACGCGGGGGTCAGAAGCTTTCAATGTTGTTCCGAATTGATAAATATGACAGACATAGAAAGTGCAAGAATGAAAAGTCCGGGCTTTGTAGGGGCAAATTTACAATTTCCTAAAACTAAATTGGTATCAATATATGAGAATTGGGTGGAGTTAGTTAGAATGCCAAATTACAGGGACTATTTGTGCTAAATCAGAAAAATGGTCTCTTCTTCCTCCCTCATCAGTTGCAGGTCCGACTTTGTCCTCACCCTCCATTAGTACTGATGCCAAAAACGAATCTTGGAAAGGAAGTGGTCTAAATTCCTCAAATATGAGTCTTTGACAAAATTGACAAGTCTCTATCAAATCCTTTTTGCTAGAAATCTCGGATTCAGGCTATAAAAAGGGGATTTTCGGCATTGGAAAACCACCACCATCACCACCCAAAAACCAGTCTCCCTTCTGTCAAGAATGCGTATTTTTTCATTGGGTATGATGTAATTTTTTCAAAAATTCATGTATTCTTTCCATAATGTTTGTATTATATACAAAATATAGTGTATTCTTTTTAGAATTATTATATTGTTTTTGTTGTTATTCTAAATGAATATAATTCTTTTAGGAATGTGTTTGGTTTTTATGTATTTTTAGTGGATATATGTCAAGTTGTATTATTTAAAAAAATCACATTTTTACAAGAATAAAAATGCATTCTGTCAAGAATGCGTATTTTTTTCAAATATACTTCTCAACAAATATTTATGTTTTTTTTGTTATTATTGTTTTTACTATCAATATTGAAAGCATCTTCACTTTTAGAAAAAAAATAATACTCCTATAATCTACAATCTCAATAAATATATTTCCAAAAAATATAACGAAAATAAGTTATTAATTCGTTTTTGCTTTTAATTACCATCATATCATTGATAATCACAACCCTTGATTTCCTAAATCAAATGGTTAGGATTGATTTATACATTAACGTACTAATAGATGCTAGTTAGAAATATTCAAGCCGTATGTATATATATATATATATATATATATATATATATATATATATATATATATATATATATATATATATATATATATATGGATGAAATTTATCGTGTGGACGTAAAGACAATTCTGGACCAATCATTTTGAGTAATATACACTTTTTTGTAATCATTTTAGACAATTAATTAGTCAAATTAGGGATGAGCAAAACCGAACCGATAAAAAAAAAACCGCAAAATCGGCAATAAACCGCGAATCGAAAAACCGAAACCGATGAAAAACTGATGGTGCGGATTTTATTTTTTGAAAAACCGAATTTATTTGTGCAGTGCGGTTTTTATCTAGAAACCAGACCACCAAAACTGAACCGCACCGCAAGCTTATTAACAATAAAATAAATGTAACATCCATAAAATTAATGCCAAATTTAAACTTTTAAAAACATTTCAAATACTAAAAGTTATTACAAAAAGGTTTCCAAAATAGTTTATATCAGAGTATCCCAGAAATCTAAGTCAAAATATGAGGAAGTGTACAGTCACGCCTTCGCCTTCCCGCGATCATTAGAAGTACCTGAAACAAAATCAACAACTGTAAGCTCGAAAGCTTAGTGAGTTACCCCCAAATACCAACCTCATATAACCATAAACATATCATATAACAAACACAGAACAGTTATGTATCTCGAGTCTACAGTGTGACTGGTCCGCCTGCACCGGGCCTTCAGTCTATCTGGCCCACTCTCCGAGCCTCGGCAGGTCTGGACCGCCCTCTCGGGGCCTTCAGCCTATCCGGACCGCTCGTCGGGCCTTCGGTCTGACTATGTGCCCTCCTGGGCCTGCAGTATATCCGGTCTGCCGTGGGTATGTTGGCCTACAGCACGAAGCAGGACCCGCCTCAACCCAACCCCCATAACAATCAAACAGTCATGTGCACATAATATCATACGCTAGCATCTATATAACATAATCATATCTATCTAACAGATCACTAACACATGAACCATCCTATAACCAGGATACCGACCTAACCGGTCACTAACATAGCATCATCCTATATACCAGGATACAAACCTAACTCAGGTCACTAGCATAATACCATCCTAACTACCAGGATGCAGATCTAGCAGATCAAATAAACATATCAAGCAAATACCCGGATATAAATCCGATAAAGTGTCGACCTTGGTGACTTAGACCTTGTTGATATAGTGAGGATAACTCACCTCACAATGCCGGTCTGAACTGAAGAATCGAACTCCCGAATCGCTATCTCACCGGAAATTCCCGAACTATCACATA